CTAAGCACTGTAGTATCCAAAATAAATCAACCAGGAAGTGATATGACAGTACTTGGTTCAGATCTAGTCCACCGAATTTCAGTTTCTTCACAAACCTAACACAGACTCATTTCTGCCATAACTAGATCTGGAATGATTACAAGCTTCGGTGGAATCCAGCAGACTATGGAGGTGCTGAATTCATCCGAGTTCCATCTGGCCAGATCTGGAAGCCAGATATTGTTTTATATAACAAGTAAGGCTCTTGCGTATTTAACTTCTTAATTCAGGGAGAGAGGGGTGATGTTACCAGCTCTAAAAAAATCAGCAGCAAGTTCACAGAATGCACTGAAAAGCTGCTTTTCAACGCACCTGTGTTCTGCATCCCCCCATTGCTGTTCTCACCTTCATGCCAGTTGTGTCAGCATCACTGGGCAGGAGCCAGCTCTCCCCTGGAGCTGCAAGTAAGCAGGCCAAAGTGAACTTTGCTTTTCGCCTTCACAAGCCCCTGCAAGTACAACTTTAACTGAAAGGAATGCAAATTCTAGCTTTTAGCAATCAAATCCACAATTTGACACCTTTGACAAATAAAAGCCACAGATAAATTTTATTTTAGATGTCAATTTCTGAGACTGTAAAGAGCCAAACCATAACTAAATGGATCTGTAAGAATGCAATTCTCATATAAATGGACTCAGCTACACAGATCCAAAACTCAGATCTATGGATCAACAGTGATGACACTCCTTTTCTAACTGGGGCCTTAAAGTTTCAAATTACCCTTTAATTTTACTTTTTCATATACTCAACTGGATCATATAAGTTAGCAAAGTGGGACTTAAAATAACCTTTTACCAAATACACTCCTTATGCAAAGATACATCCCAAACCTCATCCCTCCTTCCATAGTTACTACCTGCACTGTCCATGGAAGAGATGGAAATACCAGTAATGTTCTTATCACCCCTGAGTTCTGATGTGCTTGATCAATCTAGAATAGAGTAGAATGAAAAAAATCAGTTGGAAGGGGCCTACAAGACTCATCTAGTCACTCAGACTGCCATTTGCAATCTGTTATTTGCCATTTTGAATACTGATTGCACCAAGCCATGCTATTAATAAGAGAGAATATTGTCTTTCACCTTCTTCCTGGTGAGCTGTTTGTTTCAGTTTAACCATGGTCACCGAGTCAGTCTTGCATGAGCAATTCAGCTCCAAGTAAACAAGTAATGGCTGACTTCTCCAAAACAGATTAAAGAGTTCATGTATATGATCTGAATGTATGAAACTACCTGGGGCAGATAATTCTAATTTTTGCTATTTTTACTTGCTTTACAGTGCAGTTGGGGATTTCCAGGTTGATGACAAGACAAAGGCCCTGTTAAAATACACGGGTGATGTGACCTGGATACCTCCAGCTATATTTAAAAGTTCATGTAAAATAGATGTAACATACTTCCCATTTGATTACCAGAACTGCACCATGAAGTTTGGTTCCTGGTCTTACGACAAAGCCAAAATTGACTTAGTTCTAATTGGCTCTACAATGAACCTGAAAGATTACTGGGAGAGCGGAGAATGGGCTATAATTAAAGCTCCTGGGTACAAACATGACATCAAATACAACTGTTGCGAAGAGATATATCCAGACATCACATATTCTCTTTACATCAGGCGTTTGCCTTTATTTTACACTATCAATATGATTATTCCCTGTCTGCTGATTTCTTTTCTGACTGTATTAGTTTTCTATTTGCCCTCAGACTGTGGCGAGAAGGTGACACTCTGCATATCAGTGCTTCTCTCTTTAACAGTGTTCCTTCTTGTTATCACAGAAACCATACCTTCTACTTCCCTGGTAATTCCCCTTATTGGGGAATACCTCCTTTTCACCATGATATTTGTGACTCTCTCGATTGTCATTACAGTATTTGTACTAAATGTGCACTACAGAACACCCAAGACACACACCATGCCCGTGTGGGTGAGAACCATTTTCTTGAACTTACTTCCCCGGATCATGTTCATGACAAGGCCTGCCAGTGATGAAGAGAATAATCAGAAGCCAAAACCGTTATTCACTTCTGAGTTTTCAAACTTAAATTGCATCAATGGCTCTGAAACCAAATGCTGCAAAGATGGCTTGGCTTGTCAAGATATGGCATGCAGCTGCTGTCAGTATCAGCGCACGAAGTTCTCGGATTTCAGTGGCAATCTCACTAGAAGTTCAAGCTCTGAGTCTGTAGATCCTATGCTTTCATTTTCAGTTCTCTCACCAGAAATGAGAGATGCTATTGAAAGTGTGAAATACATTGCAGAAAATATGAAAATGCAGAATGAAGCAAAAGAGGTAAGTACATATTTTACCGTTACTCAAAGTGCAGATACCTTTTGCCATTAGAGTGTTTTGTAAGAAAAAGATCTCAAACAAACAGACAAAAAAGATAAAAAAGACCATTATTTTATGCAAGTAAATTACACAAGCTATATTACAAAGACGTGCAATTTTGAACTTACATAACTGAGAAGCAGCTCTGCTGCACAGTGTTCTCTTTATTGACAATATTGACTGAATGAGGTACATTAAGGGGAACATACCAAAGCACCCATCCCGTGAGAGCTGAAGTTAGGATTTTCCAAGTTATAATCTTAATAGTGGAATTCGCTGACCCTATGGCATTTAGAAAGTTACATTCTCTCTCCCACAGCTTACTATCACCAACAGAAATGTTAGGGTGAATGTCCCTCGCAGTGATGGTGGTGCTCATCCTGTTGCTGCTGCAGGGCAAAGTGCTGTAGCTAAATGAGGCAACTACTGCAAGACAAGGACCAACATCTTTCATAAAGCTCCATCTTAATACAATAAAGGAGAAAAAAAAAGGGGTTTTTTTCTACCATGTTCCTCAAACATAATATAAGCAGTAGCCACACCATCACAGTTTTTAAATCCCCAAACTACAGCACTTCATTCTAACTTCATTTAGTTCATACATAAATCAGAACTCTATTTAGATTTAGTTGGTACAGAAAATAGAGGGTTGCTTTGGGTTCTTAAGTTTCCCTTAACAAACAAGTTCTAAGCTAAAAAGAACAAATTTAAAAACCAACAAATTAATTTATCATTCTTGAAGAAAAACAAAAAATTGAATTGTAATCTCAATAGTAGCTAAAAATGATCACTGAGTTACTATTAATATATAATACTTCATTGTCACTCTTGCTATAAAACGTACTGTAAAAAAAAAGAAATTAGAAAAATCGGGTGTTTTCTGAAACTTGGTTCCCTCTTTACATGAAAGGTAAAGAGATGAATTTTACATGATGCATGAAAATGGTCAAATTTCAGTACTACATAACAAAGTATCAAATAATTACATACCAATTAATCTTTGCTTTTTACATACTACCTAAAGGCCAGTAGGAGCAGTCTGTTTCAGTAACATTTTCTGACAAATCTGTTCATCTAAGAATGTAAAGCTTGAATAGAGAAGTTCTGTCTCCTCAAGTCCAGTGTTTTGGTGAACAACTTTTTGGATTTGAAGCAGCAGCTTTTGGCTTTGCTCCAAATAGAATATTCAAATAAAGCTTCTTCAAGATGAATTCATTTGTCAGTGAAAACAGATGTGTAAGTTGTGTATTCATAAGGATATCTACATACAGAAAAAACTGTGCTTCTTATATGAAATTATATTATTGCTAATGCAACTTATTCACCTAATAAACATGCCAACTTGCTATTCTTTTTTTTCTTTTCAGATTCAGGATGATTGGAAATATGTTGCCATGGTAATTGATCGTATTTTTCTATGGGTTTTCATCCTGGTGTGTATTCTAGGAACAGCAGGATTGTTTTTACAACCTCTGATGGCTGGAGATGAAATGTAAAAATTAAATACATTGTGAAATCAAATAAAACTGCCAGTCAGCTCTGCATTCCTCTCCCAGCACCTCACGTCTCTTCCATGTGGTAGAACAAGGATCCCTTTGGCTTCAACTTCACTTTATGAAGGCATATTTGTTCAAAATGCAGAGAAAGGAATTATTTGGAACCTTTATGACTGCTAATCTCAAAGTAACACAAACTATGCTTTAGAGCTACTTCTTGCAATAGCTGGAGAAGATGGAGGCAGTATGTTAAACTTTATAGGAATGGTTTAAAAAGGGGTTAATAAAGAAATGGAAAATTAGATGAGTATTTGGAAAGTCAAGATGAGTTGAATGCTTTGGGCTATTAAGTTTGTTTGTAGTCTGGTCCCAAGCTTCTTCAGAGCACGCCAGGATCTTCTGGAAGCAGTTCACAGTGAGTTCCATGAATAACCTCACAAGGACAACGGTGGGAAGCACCAGTACCAAATGGCTGGCCTGCAGACATTGCCACCTGCTGTACAAGCTGACCCACACAGTGGCAAGAAAGGACTGAGGAGGGGCTTAGTGCAAAAGGAGAACAAATAGGTAAATGATAGATGATGGTAATAAAGCAACCATGAAGTAAACTCTATGTATCCCCAGACTGCAATGTATGTGAAGGCTGTCAGGAAAAAAAAGTGCTCAAACCTAATGATGTTTAGAATTGTGTACAAGTAAAACACACAATAAGACAGTCTGCAAGTGATGTAAAGGATCAAAATACTTGGACAGGATAGTTTGGATACAGAGGCATCCTGCTGTAGTGAAGTGTTTTATGCCAAGGTAAGGCAGGTAGACAAAAATAGTCCTGTAAAGTGTGCTAAAATGTGCTAAATGCATTTAGCTAAAATAGCTAAATGCTAAGTGTGTTGTTGCTTAGGCATATGTATCTTCTCTTGTTTTTTGGTTTTTTTTTTAAATCAGTAACTGCAGATTATTTAAGAGTGTGAATAAAGAATGTAACAAAACACTGTAATCAGATCATATTTTGTAAAAAATACAAACTGTTCTCTCTGTACCAAACCAAAAACTTCGTGGAAATACAGTGTATCAAGTGATATAACATTTATGAAAATAAAGAGAATCAAACTGTTGAAAATTGTGCCTTTTTTTCATTTATTTTGAGCAAGTGACAGAGATCTATATAAGGTAGTATTACCTACAGTTCAATACATTCAGCAGTAAGTTACAGAAGTAAAAGTCCATGCTTCTGAGTATATTAGCATTCTTTTGTTTCAGACACACCTGATAAGCAGAAGACCCCAAGGATTCCAGTGTCAGCTGTGTTATCTGAATCTATCATGATCAGACTAGAAGTCACTAAAAGAAATTCATGCATTTGCAAAAACTGTGAGTTACTATCATAGAGAGCGTGACTCCACTGGACAATGTGCTCCCCATCATGATGTAACTGAGCAGCCTGGAGACATCATTGAACAAGAGGGAAAAGATGAAATGGAGAGTAAAAAAATAAGATATATATATAATCTACAGTTGTACTCACTTTGCTTTCTCTACAGGTAAGAGTAAATTTCAGTAATTCAAACCTATGGAAGACTTTAAAAAGAAATGCTGTATTTGAAGAGGAAACAAGCTATCTGAAGTATTTCTGCAAGTTGCACACAGAAAAAGTCATTGATGCATTGTTTAACCTTAGCAATGCTGGGAAGTTAAAGCTCTTATATTAACAAATTAAAACAGATAATCTTTGCAAATTCACCTTGCAAGTTATGATGGGAATAGAGGAAACATGGATATCCAGTGTCAGATGTAACTGTGTAACTGAAGAAGAGTAAATCCCTAACTGCTACTATAAAAAAAAAAGAAAAAAAAAGGTCTGCCTGATATAATTTCCCTACCTGTGAGCCTTTAAAAGCTACACAAAACCAAGACTGTCCTGCAGATTAAAACATTTTGAAATAAATATTAAATTATATATAAATTATGACATAAGTAATCAATATTATAATTAGAGCAGGGCTTTTCTAAAGGAGATCTGGGAGGGAGCGTGGGAGAAATACAACAAATACTGTTGTTCAAATTTATAATCACTATAAAAACTTTAAATTATTGAAGATACCACAGTTTACATTAAAACTTCTCACCTAAACATGTTATTATTCATGCAGTAATTTAAGCAAACAAAAACTTCCTAAGATTTGCTCTCGCCTGCTCTACTCCTGTATTAGGCCTACAGGATGCAATTCTATTATGAACAACACTGAAAAAACTTTAGTGTAGGAAAACACCCAACTATTTTAGAGTCTTTTCCAGAAATGAAACTATTAAGAAAGGAAGAAAGGTGGCATTGGAATCAGTGTAAAGAATGCATTTTAAAGGAACAATTGGAAAATTGCAAGTTCGTTTTCAATGATCTTAGGAAAAAGGAAATATGGAAAACTCCAAGTCCTTGCTGCTTAGAGTTACATGTGTTTTTTAAAGTGAAAGAACTAATCCAAGGTAGCTCTCTTAAGTTCAATTAAACAAATGTGAAAATCATTAATCATCTCCATTTGGTTCCACAGCATTGTAATTTATAACCCACTTCCGTCAGAAAGATGCTCCACAAATTCCTTCTGCCTGTGCTTAAAAATCTTAATTCTGAGAAACATCCAGATACAGGAAATAATGAACATGTCTGTAAACTCACACACTGTATCAAATTCTTCATCAAGAGTAAAGCAATCTGAATGTTGCAGCCCCTTAGAATACTTATGCACCTTGGGAACTCAGTTAACTGCCTTTGCCTTCCTTTCCAAAGCTGATGGAGACATCAATATACATACATGCTTTAGGCATTTCAAGGCTCATTAAATGCTCGGGTTGGTATCACAGAATTATCAAGCTTTAAAATTTAGCAGCAAATTCCCCTGAAAATTTATAAAGGCCAAACATGGCCAAATTGCTGTTCTTAGTTGTATATTAGATATACAGGAAGTTTAACTTATATTTTTATTATTTTAAATTTCACTCTGGTGAAATTTCAGACTTCTACAACACACTGAAGAGAACTGATGAAAATTCACCTTTGTATACAAAATTGAAATAAACAACTCTACTGTGTAACTGCAAATATGTAATATTCAGTATAACGATTTATATAGTAATTTAATAATTGGACTACAGTGTTCATCATTAAAAAATTGAAATCCTTCTATATCACAGTAGGTGTCAGTGGCTGCTTTTTTGATAAATCATACATGCCATGGCTTGAAAAGATTCTTTTAATTCTGACCTGGCTTGGCAGTAACTGAGTAGACTGGCAATAAGCAGACTGACCTCTATGTGTCCTGGGAATGCCATGCTTTAAGATAAACCTAATTTTCTAGTTCTGGATTTTTTTTTCACTCTACCAGAAACATGCCTACAAAGAACATGCATGGAAACAAAGCTACTGCAAAACTTAGAGCCAGATCAGTAGGACATAGCTCCAAAAATATTTTATGCATTTGTACTGCCTATATGGGTAGGGACTATTATACTTGCCCATTTATGAATAACAGGAATAAATAACACAAGTGATCCAATTATTGAAACCAGAAGAAAAGCCCACAGGAACATTCGATCAAGCACCTGAGCAATGTATTTCCAGTCTTCAACAACCTAAAACACAGAGAGCACATGAGCTGGTCAGTGTGTGCAAGAACAGGTAAAAACACAGTAACAAATCCTGCAACTCTTAATTATTTCAAGATACACCTTTCCCAACCATGTCCCTATGATAACCCTCTGGAACAATATTTTATAATTATACTGTGAGTTAGAACTGAAGCAAGCTTCCCTCTGTGAAGATTGATAAGTTATGTACATTTTGATGCAGAAATCGACCCTGAGAAGCACCCAACATCCTCATCTATAGAGATGAGACTGGCCTGCCATTTTCTAACATGCTGCAGGATACATGGCACATGACACCACAACGTGGAATTCCCAAGGAGGAGTTGGAAGCAAAAGTTGTAAAAAAAGTCTCCAAACAACCAAAAACACCAACCCACAACAAAAAACTAACCAGAAAACCAAAACCAAACCTACCAAGTAGTAAATAAAACAATTTTTTAAAATTGTTAGTAGAGTAGTTGTTGTGTTACAAACAATTGCTGAAAGCTGCAAAGAATTATACACTGGGGAGAATACTCACACTAGTTTCAAGACTACTTTCTTTTTTGATAAAATTATTCATATCTATACACAGTTTTGCAAGTATTGCAGATTTAGTTGTACAAGCAAATTAAAACTCTGCCAAACAATTGTCTTGGATTTGAACTGGAGCTATCCATGTTTTCCAAGCCTAATGCCTCCTAAGATGTAGGGCTACAATAGCACTAGCTGTCTAGTGTTTATTAACAACTTTTACAATTAAAGCTGGCATTCTCTGGAGCCCAGTAATAATAAAACAGCTGAATCCCCAGTCAGCTGTATATTAATTTCCGAGGTTTATAGTTGAAAATTACACTTGAAAAACAAAATACTTACTACTTGTCACTCACAGTCAATGCTTAATTTACAGGAAATTATGTATTTAATAGCAAACTATTCTATTTCTGTTGTTTATACAATGCAGATGTTGCTTTAACAGTACAGCAGATACATTTATTAAAAATCTAGGCCGCATCCCTTGTGACAATGTCAGAATCAAGTCCTGAGAAGGCACATCAGAGGAGGTACATTACTCCAAGTCTTGTATGGGAGAACACACTGTCAGCAACCAGAGCCTTATGAAGACAGCAATTCCCATATAGACTGAAAGAACCTCAGGCTTTGCCGTCAGGAACAGACAGTGCACCACAAACTTCTATATTTCTACAAACTTCTACATTAGACTGGAAATAGCATTTGAGTCTCTGATGTACCAATGGTGCTAGCTTAAAGAGCATGTAAAGAAAACAGATTTCTAATGCTCTTACACAAATGTTGTAAGCATTCATTAAGGATAATTCAGAGTGCAAATACACTCTGACACTGAAAAAAGCCTCTGACATCTTTTAATAAAACTTAGGGCAAATAATAGTAAGGGTAGAAGAGAACACTTAGGAAGTCATTGAGTCCATGTTTCATCTGAGCACAAAATGGCCAACATATGGCCATAGCCTGTATTTAAACGAATACAATTTAGAGCACTCAAACTGTTTTTATTTGAAATTGAAAGCTGCAAGATAAGTATTGGCAGTATATATTTGAAAAATATAAGGCAAATGCATTTTTCAAGACAGCCTTCAAGTACAACATTAAAGTGAAAAAGAGCTCCTTCTCTTGTCATCTCAGCAGTGCTGTAGGGAACAGTTACAGTACATGTTCTTCTCACAGACGAGTGTCTCACAATGTGTAACTAATGACAAGAACTATCAGAAAACAGCAAAAGACATCTGAAGTCCCCAAGTACTGTACTGTATCAGCCAAATAGTCTCGGGATTGTACCATATTTGCACTTTTTTCCCAGTGGAAACAACTACACAGCTTCAGCAAAGTACAAAAGCTGGGAATCTGTAGCACATCTTTAATATGCAACTGCACATTAAAGGCCTTGGTTTTCTAATTTGCAGTTGTACAAAATCAGCACAGCAGGACTGACACACCCACCTCGCGAACTTCATTCTCCTTCATCACATGTCTCGTAATGTAGCGGATGGAATCCAGAGCTGCTTCCAAGGTGTTCCTGGATGATTCTGATCCATTCAGATTTGCTGTTTCCTCCTTCTGAGCAAAGTACCTATCGACATGGCTTCTCATACAGAGCAGCTTGGGCAGCTTGTGCAGAAATATCTTGCGAACCCAGGGTGCCATGGCGTTGTGTGTGGACGAGGAGCGGTGGTGGATGTTGATAGCAAAGACAGTGATCACAATGGACAAGGTCACAAATATCATAGTAAACACCAAGTACTCTCCTATGAGTGGGATAACTTTAGAAGATGATGGAATAATTTCTTCAATAACAAGAAGAAAAACAGTCAAAGATACCAGTACTGAAGTGCAGAGTGAAATTTTTTCACCTTCATTTGAAGGAAGATAGAAGACAAGGACAGTTAGAAATGAAAGCCCAATACAAGGAATAATGAGAAACAAAGTGTAAAAAAGTGGCAAACGCCTAATTATAAATGAATATGTAACAAAAGGATACCAGCAGCATCCATCAGTCCTGTTTCCTTTGCTCCCTGTTGCAGTCACTATTTCCCATTCTCCATTATCAAAAAAGTCTCTTTTGTCTACATCATAATCTTCAAGAATTAGATCAACCTGTGAGCCATCATAAGTCCAGGAACCAAATTTCATTGAACAATTTTGAAGGTCAAAGGGGAAGAATGTTACATCAATAGTACAAGAACTTTTGTAGTTTGCTGGTGGAGTCCAAGCAATGGTGCCATCATATTTTACCACAGTTTTTGTAGATGTTCCCTCAAAACGTCCATCTGCACTGAAAGAAGAGAGATAAATGCAGGCAATTACAATGGGGTGTGGGGATGTATTTAAAGAAGAAATGATACTTCGTTATTGTCATTTCAGCTGTCTATCCCTTGATAGCCAAAATTTTATATTGTCTTCATAGTCAACTTTTTCCCCTCAAATCTGAAGCTAACATAGGTAAACAGCTTTGGAAACCTGAAGAATATTTTCAAGTCCTGAAAAGATCTGTGCAACTTTCTATGGTCCCAATGACTTACGAAACGATTGTAAAATCCTGATTTTTAACAGCATGACCCAGCTCTGGTTTTTCTATTAGTAAGAGACAATAAGTACTTTTAAATTTAGCCAAATCATAATTATCGAAGAAAAAGAGTCACAAAACAGGTAAAATTATACTTGTGCCCAAACTTGAATTTACAATCACTGCAACAGCCTGTTATCCTGACTCGACAATTCAGGAATGTAAAATCACTGTATGTGTACCTAAATTGTGCATAAAGGTTAATTCAAAAGTTCTTGTTTCTGAGATCTTTTAATTTAAAAAAAAAAAATCAAAATGAAACCAACCCCCCCTTACAGTTAAATGTACAAATGTACCTAACTTTAATTCCATGCTGAATATGACCTATCAACAGCATAAATTAGTTGTTCCCTCCCATCACACTATTTACAGACAGCACTGTGCAAAACATTTTTGTCCAATAAAGAAAGAAGTTCACACAACAAAATGGAAATAACCTTTTCAAAGGGACTAGAAATTCCATTCAGAAGTAAAGCAAAACATTTGAGTACTTAACATGGCAACAAAGTCTATTTGCATTCAGAGGCAAGTTCTTGCACAGGTTCTTAGCCCACTAAATGTACACATTATCTATCCAATGAGCCTCCTAGAAGCAGTTTGGTCAGCAAAGTTATAAAGTAAATGCATTTTGTATGAAAATAGTCAAAACTTACTTGTCATACAGCACAATATCTGGAATCCAAATAGAATCTGATGGAACACGGATAGATGTTATTCCAGCATAGTCTTCAGGATTCCACCTTAATTTTACATCTATCCATTCCTGTGGAGATGTGAGATGCAAAAATCATTATTATTGGGAAGTGGATTTCAGCAGGGTGATACCAGATGAAAATAGATAACAGGGCAATTAACAACAATCAAACGGAACTAACATTTGCATAAAACAATGAAGTTGCTGAGCAGGCATGTAGTTACCTCATTCACTATTTGTTTTCTGTTATTAGAGCTGCTTGACAATGTTTCTGTGCAGAACTTAAGAGATGACGTTCCTTTTTCAGAACATGTATTTGTAAGTAAGAGCTATTATAATGTAATTTAATTGTATAAATTAAATTTGAAAAAAGCTTGTTCTGGATGAATACCAATGACTGGAAGCTAATCAGAAGCAATTTAAACATTTTCATTATAAAAAAATCCCATCATGTTCCAATTCTTAAAACTGGTTCAACTTCAAGAAGATCTGCAGAAACTATTAAAGAGGGCACAAAGAATCATCAGTCCACATGGCCATCTCATATCTGCTGACTAATCTCAAAGTTTTCCTAAAAATAAAAACTTGGCCTAAAAATACAGTTACTGAAAAGAAGGAAATGGGAAGCAAAAGGAAAAAAAATCAAATAAACAAACAGAAAGGAATTAGCCCAAACAAAAATAATTCCATAAGCTAGTAAGTATACCCAGCATCTGCAAAGATTCTTCTCAGTGAAATTAAGAATGACTTGTGAGAAGCATTACCCAAGTAAATAGTGGCAATTAAGTTTAGCACTGGACTCTGACAATTACAAAGCTTAAGGCTTTTTCCTGCCCAAACCCAAATATTCTTAAGAGAAAAAAGTATTTCCTTCTAGCAAGCATAGTTAACTTTGAAAGTGGAATTCTACAGTAATGTATATCAAATAATTTCAAATATCCCACAGGAAAAAGACCTCAAAAATATTATACAGAAGAATACACCAACCATACTTTTCTTAATAAAGCTTTCAAATGAAAACTTTCATACTGAAGCAGCAATTTACGGTTGGATATATACACCTTGGTATATTAAATGGCCATATAATGCCATATCATATTACTTTGAATTTGGTGAATTTTTGTTTACCTTATTATGGTTTTCTTAAGAGGTTTGTCACAATTAATCCTTTAAAGCATTTCCAGGGACAGTCTATAAAGATACTATGTGAAATAAAATTTCATGCAAGAGCTAAGTTTTTTGAACATACAATTAACTAGAAAAGTTTCTCCTAAATTTTGATTTGCAGTTATGAAGCTTCAGAAATTTTCATCAATATTTTACACATACCTGTTTCAACCACACATTTGTTGTCATCAATTGATTTTTCTCATCCTGTAAAATAAAGCATATATCACAAAAAATAATCTATCCATAGGAAATAGCTGCTTTAGTTCACAGAGGCCTGTAACTTAAAATACAAAGCACACTGCTGAAAGCATTCTAATCACTATGTATGTTTATATGAGAACATTATATATTCATCTACAGGGCATTTTTATTACACAGATAATAATTTAGGATGCTTAATTTATTGTGTTTAACAAGCACAATTATTTCACATGAAATTATACTCCTTTTAAAGTTAGTGGAAAAAAATACAACTTATTTACTATACATACCACATCTACTAGCTGAGAGATTGCAAGGCCAAACTTGATTTTTATTGTGTCATTCAAGCGTTCCACTGGACGAACCCATCTTTGATAGTCTTCAAACAAATGCTTAAACAAACGATCTTCACTTTTAGCAATAAAAGAAGGTTCAGATACAGCTATATAAAAAAAAAAAATCAACACTGATTCAAATGAGCAGTGTACATCTGCATTCTTGTGTCCAAACAGTTACAGCTTTTTTTTTTGCAGAGTTCAATTTCTCATCGCATCCCCTTCTCTCTAGAAGCAAGCCCAAGGTCATGGAAGTAGAATTTTATGAAGTTACCTGGTTTTATTAGCATCCTCACACCATTATCACGCTTCTAAAACTGATGACTCAAGAACATTAAGATAATCTCAGCAGGCAAAAAGCTCTTATATCATTTACCCAATGCCAAGCACCTGTGGAACTCCTCTAAAACAGAAAGCTGACCTATGGGGGACTGAAGTTCTGTCAACCTACATCCACATCACACACCAGTAGTATATTGCATAACTTGCAACCCAGTTTGAAACTTCAGTCTCTTAATGTATTTATGTATTTTTAACATTTAATGTATTTCTTCACATGTTTGGGCACATTTACCATGTATAAATTTTGCTGCACTTGTAGAGCACTCTCCCTCACACTGTTTTGTATCTTAGATGCATATGCCAAACTATTTACCAGTCGACTCTCTACCCATTCCAATGTTACACTGACTGGAATGCACCTTTCTAGCTCTTTTTCATAGGTCTCAAGGGGCAATTTTGGGGTAGATGGAGAGACGGGAGGAAAAAAGGGAAGATCTGAGTCTAGCTAAATAACTTGAGTAAGAACAGCTTTCAAAAGTGTTGTGGAAGACCTGAAGATGGCTGCTGCCTCGAGAAGCACGAACTATGCACATCACCCTGCATGGAAGGGTCTCCAATCCCCAGACAAAGGTAGAATGACCACCAGAAAACACTGACATGTTCTACATAAAGATTTTTACTACTTATCAATAAAATTTTAAAGGGAATTACTGCCAAAAAAAGACCTAACAACTATTATCGTCAGTTTAAGGGACAGCATAAAGAAAAGAAAGGAGCTCACCACCATCTCTTTTAAATGCAGACTTAAAATATTATGCTATTACATAAATCTATGGCACAACCTCTCTAGAAATCATGTGCTCACTAACAGTATCCATCTAAAAAAAGATCTATCAGAAGCAGAAAATCACCAGAGAATGACATAAACAGATTAAAACCAGAGACAGTCATCCATACAAGGAGAGATTTAAAAGATTAACATTACTTTGTTTGGAGAGGAGGTGAATTTAGTCAACATAACAGAAGTAGCTCAACTAGGAATGATACAAGCAGCAAAAACATTGGTGGTATCTAATCTTTCTCATAAAATAAGCCAAAGGAAACAAAGTACCAATTAAAGGTAGCATAAATAATGTCTACTTGAAGTTCATCACCATCAACATTCAGTAAGTCAGCAATTCACAGATACTGAAGAGGACTAGGATTTCAGAATTGCCTGGGATGACTACACTGTATGTCAGGCAGTGTCACACCTGCACAGGGCATCAGTTCTCATTCCCACAAAACTTGCTGAAGCTGCCTCAGAGCTGACAACACTTCCATGACTTGGTGTTTGTGGCAGAGGCTTGGCTGACATCACTTAAGCCATTAATTTGAAGTGACCTAAGCCAGTCCCACATGACTGCAGCCACTGCAGCCTGGACAAACTATGATGGGCAGTCCAAGTTTTAAGCTGCCTTGCACTCACTGAAGTGTGACTGCTGTGCTGCAAAAGGCTCCTTGTACAGGTCCTCTGGTCAAAACAGCCAAAGCACTGCAGAGCTCAGCAAGGCAGTTCCCTACCTTTGGCACTGCGTGTGTGGGGCAGTCCAGCAGAAATATTATTGTTTTACACACTAACCAGATTTCTCTGAAATGTCATAGTAGCAGCAAAAGCAGAATGTAGCATAAGAAACAGGATCAGCACAGTGGGAGCAGCAGGACCCCTTTTTCCTACAAGTCTTACCCTACACTAACATGCTGCTGAATGGCTCTTGCTGTGGGCCAAATCAACATTTGGGTTTTAAGAAAAGTCACCCTTCTGTTTCAAAATACAAACCTTTCTGACTTGTGGGATGTGCAAAGAACTGATGGCCAACTTACACCATACTGCTGAGATAGCTCAGGTGGATACAGACAAACTCACAGGACATAAGAATTGCTGCCAAAAAGGATCCAGCAACAGAATGCTGCACATATACAAGTTATCCTGTAAATATACAAGTGCCAAAAATATAACTGGTTCAGTATATCCTCATTAGCCAAGGATTTATTCTCATTTGTAACTATAGACAGATTTGCCAAGCCCTACATTTTACAGAGATCCAAAAGAATGCTTCCTGAAGACACAACCTAATTTCTCTATTTCTATATCCCTATTTCCTGAATTATGAATGGTTTTGTGTATATTTCAGCCTAATATTTCATAAATACTTCATTTCTATATTAGCATTAATTACATTTCCCTCCTGCAGTTACAACTCTCAACTGAATTTAAGACTGACAATGCAGCTGGATATTATCTCTCAATTAATTGACCTTGAAGCAATGCAGAGGCAAAGTTGCACTTTCACCATTTCTGTGTTCCTGTAAGACGACCTCCTGTGCAACGATACAGCATCCTCAGGGTACGTGTTGTTTCCAGATGAAGCTTCTCTCAAAACACAGCATCTCCTCTGCTATGCTGAAAGGGGACATGCTTCTTTACTGCTTTTATATACTTAGATTATTATTCAAACATTTTATACTCAGACCTATAGTATATTCACTGATCTATTACAATGACCATTATTTACTAATCATATAATTTAATTACTTCTTTCTTTCTTTTTCTGATCACAGATGTATCCACACATTTCAATATTTCTAGTTTGTTCTCTTTATTAATACACTGGGGCAAACTGGTCTAGAAAAGACATCTCATCTCCATGAGGAGGCTGGAAATGGTAAGAGTATATTAAGACTTGGCAAAAACAAAAAAAAGTAATCACCCCTACCTACAGCCATTCAAATAATTTGTTACAGACTGCATATGTTTTATATCTCTTTTCCATGTATCTATGATTTTAAGATTACAACAAGGGGCTGTAATTCTTAGCTACACCTTGTAGTATTAACATCAATTTAAAAATTATGAAGAGCTGGTGACAAGTGGAAAAAATGTAAAGAGAGAAAAACAGGTAAAACAGTTTAAATGGCTTAAGGCAGCAGAGTCTCTATGCTGGCTGGAGAAAAACAGAAAGAGGTTAAAACCTATGACTAGCAAGATTAACAAACCAACAACTCAGAGTACAATCTCATACTAAATCAGATGGCAAGAGATTATAGCAACACTCACCCCTGCCTCGAGCTCAGAGTACTAAAGAATATCTGTAGCCTTTCAAGGGCAGTTCTAAGCTGCCTTGTATTTGTGTGTCTTCATTTTTATTGAGGCCAGGGAACCTCTGCAGTTTACATCAAAGGTAGCTCACTGTACTGTTCAGAGGTAACTCCTAATGACAACATTTTCTTTATTATCTGCACCTTAAACTCTTCTCACTGCCCCTCAGTGTAAGTCCATATTTAGCAACAAAAAAAAAACACAAAAAAAACACACCTAAATCTCATATGAGGTTGGATGGCCTAAATTTTAATTCTGCACAAAGGAGACAAATGTTTATGCACAAAGCAGAGTAATTATTCAATTTTTTTAAACTCTGAAGTAGCTGGAGAATGCTTTTGACAAAGGCTAAGTAAAAATTCTAATGAAACACTTGACCTTGAAAACATTGTATTTAAAAATTCAATTAATTTCCTCCATAAGTATTTAACATAATTTTTTTATTAAAGTACCTTGGAAGAACTATTTAGAAAATTGGGTGAAATATTACATGGGCCTCAGATACAGGAATAGCATGATGAAACATGTACATGTCTATTTATCTTGATAACATTCTCAAGTCAAAATTTCACATGGGCTGCTAATGGCTGACATTTTAAATGCTGTAGATAAGAAACAAAAGATGGGTTTTACAAAAGAACAATACTTTTGTAATTTACTGTGCCATTATGGGATTCAATTTCCAAGCATCTTAATATGATTTAGCAACATTATTCCTTTCATAAGAATTACCAGTGAAATACTTAAAGAGTCTAAGAGTCAGATTGGCAGTGCAGGTGTAACACTGATCCTTATACATTAAACAGTGCAGTTCAAAGCATTTTCTAATTTAAACAGTGTAACTCAAAGCATTTTCTAATTGCCAGAATTGAGCGTTAATGATTTCAGGTTTTCTTTGCATCACCACTGGGTGCAAAAGGAGGCCCATGGGGAAAGGGTCACTTTCTAGAACTGTAATATTAACATGCATATTCAGAAGTAATATATTATTTATAATCACATACCATTACAGAAAAAAAACAAAACAAAACAAAAAAAACAAAAAAAAACAAACAAAAAAAACACCACCAAAATAAACCAAACAAGCAAACAAAGAAACCCCACAAACCTACTTCTAAGGACAAACATTGCAAAATATCCATGCTTTGCAGTTAACATTACATTCTTTAACTCTGGGTATATTATAACACAAACTATTATCCACAAATCTAACTGCTACATACAACTAATAATTTGCTTAGAAATCTGGAAGGTGAAGAAATATATACAGTATGCCTGCCTTATGTACTCTAGGATATTTATTGAGATGATCTCCCATCATTATTTCATTAGGTAGAAAAGACAAGTAACGTATTAAGTTGAAGTTTTATTTTATACTGATTCCTCTGACCCTTTGAAAAGAATCATGAGTCATACTTCCTGCACGGTCTTTAATTTTTGGCCTACTTTTCCTTCTATGCATTAGCAATTGCCCAGAATCCAATCACAGTCAAGCGTTTAATTAACAGCAAGCATTTAGAAAGATCACAATCATCTTAACTAGGATGTCTGTAAGTCAAAGCAGCAATACTAACTTTATTCTATTTACTGAATAGAAGTCAGAAAAGCCAACTATTACATTCTGAACTTCCCAGAACTATCTTTTCCTCCCCTGTTTAAAAAATGAAGGCAAACCCTATCACCACCCCTACAAGCATGGAAAAGGTGGCTTTAAAGTTACTGAGAAGATTTGTGCCTTCTCTCTAAAATAGAACATCAACATTCAGCCAACAGGGAGCAAAATAAAACAACATATATTGGACATGAAACTGTGAGGAATTTTGAACTGCAATACTGCTTAGTACTTACTGTGAAAAATGAAACACTGGAGATGGGAGCTCTTTTTCAGAGTGGCAATTGCTAGTTAATGTTGATGAAGTTGATAGGATCTTAATTTGAAGTGTTAGTCTGCTGTTGAATGTTAGTTAAGAGTTCTGAGATTTGCCTTTGGTTGCCACTGTTAAGTGTTACTGTCTTACCCTGTGTTTGTATTCCTTTCCATGGGGAACCACTTCCCGGCTCCCAGAGGGACTTGCACCCAGACTGAATTTAATGAGGGGCTGTTGGTATGGTATGGGCTCTCTCAAAAACAAGAAACCAGCACATAAACTATGGTTTTAAACTGGCTGCACCACCAGGAATCACCCACAATTTACCAGAGCTGGATTCCATCCTGTCACCATGGCTTGAGGAGAACTCAGTCTGGATGGCACCCCTAGACTAGAAGCCAGCATTGCCTGCCTGAGGCCTCTCCTGGTCGTCCTGTGGGAGCAGTGGCGGTGTGCACGACCCCTGGGGATCCGCACCAAGAGCTGTTCTTAATAAAGGCCTTTTTAAAGGAGCTGGTCTCCTGACCCTGTTTATTACAGCTTGGATCCCCGCCGGGGAATCGAACCCAGGTCTCCCTCGTGACAGGCGGGGGATACTAACCACACAGAGGTACGAGAGCTGCTCACAGAAAGCACTGAAGGTGCTTCTCACATTCAATTCAAATTTAAAATGTTAAAGGTACAACTTGATAGTTGTAAAGGAGAATGAAACTACCCTGTAAGAGCGTAGCAACAAGGTATAATTATGGCACATATTTCTGAATACATGTACAAGTTTGGTTAGTAACCATAATAGCCTAGCATGTAGTTTGTAAATAACCAAGAAATAGATGTGAACTGACAGTCAGTCTGTAGATTAAGAGCTAATTGGACCACCAACTATTCCTTTCCGAACACCCGTGCTAAGTCCACAGCACGTGCCAAACAGCTTCCTGTCCTCCCTGGCGGCACTGCCAGCAGCAGACATCCCCTGCAGCGGTAACCGCAGGGCTGTGCCTGCCGCAGCACTGCCCGCCGAGCTCACCCAGCTCCCACACACACACAGGGATCCCCGGCCCTGCCCCACAGCCGGCCACGGGAAACGGCTGCCTCACGCCAGCCTGCCCTGGGGAAAATCCCGTCACGCTGAAGGCTGGAGGACCTTCCTGTAACAGATCCAGGATTTTGTCATCTCTTTTTGTACTACTTTTAATCATTCCATCATTTTCACCGATTGCTGACCTGTCAGTAAAGACTGAAGATGGACTGTGAAGCATTGAGGAATGCTGAAAGCAAGGAGCAAAAAAGGTGTATAGAAGTGCAGACAGCACAAGGAAGAACAAGTATGTAGAATCTGATAAGTAGAACCATTTATAAATTTAGAGGCCACGTGTCATGGAATTAAACACAAATCCGAAATGTACGTAAAAAAGACCTTATGGAAATAAGAAACAGGCCAGGGCTTCTCACAAGCTGCCAGTGCAGCCCTGGGTGCTGCAGATGTTGGGCACCATCCTTGCCTTCTTGCCCCCTTGCCTTCTGTTTTGCCCACTCAGCTCCATTCCAGTCTTGGATACACTGAAACACAGAATCCTACAGCTCACAGAAATCAGCTATATTGCTCAAAACCAGATAAGGAGATTTCAAAATCTATAATATCACACAAACCCTGGGTTTTACCATTCTAAAACATGGGAAACTATGCAAGTACTTCCTTCCTGTAGAAGGCAGTTCCTTCTACAAATCAACGCAGGTAATTTCTCCACAAATCAATGCTCACATTTATCCCCTTAAGAACCTCTAAAGAAAGCACAAAGTATTTTAAGAGAAAAATCACAAGAAACACATACAAGCAGGAAGGTTTGCAACTCCCTGTTGGGTAGGGAGAAGGATTTGATCTGTTCTACCGAGGGAAAACACTTGGGTGCATGAAGTGCCAGGGAAACACCATCACAGGTCTGCAGCACAGCACAGCAGGGCCAGGCTAGAGGTTGGTGTTAACCTCAGCTCCATTTGGGCATTCGAGTTAGGTGAAAATTCAGAGCAAGAACAAAACCTACTTTAACTGTATTTTAAATCAGCAAGTATGTTCTGCTGACAATTCAGAGGTAGCCAAGATAAAACATTGGTTCACTATTAAGTGAAGGAAACCAAATGAATTTACAAGCACTCTTATAGCAAATTTCATTTTATTTTAGAAAAAACAAGTTATGAAAAGAAACTTTAGCCTCACTGTATACAATCAATTCTCAGTGAAGTCAAAACTGCCACAAGGCAAAACCTGGCTTACCCTGACTGCAGGTAATTCCATGCAGTCATATAAATCATATAATGTAATATAATGATTTTGTATCTTCTGTCATGAAGAACAGGAAAAACACTACTTTTCCAAATGCTGGGACAAACAATTGTCTTTTAAACCACATTCAGCAATAACAGACTGAGTATTTGTAGGCTAAATTAAAACCTAGATGTTGATACAATCAACACCCTTCCATTAACATTTCCATAAACGTTTCCATCGATTCCATAAACGATATTTACAACCACTTTTTCAATTTTCAGTTAATATAAAAAAACGCTCAAATTTATCTTTCAATAATTTTCTGCCTGCCTTTGTTGTAGTTGTGGTTTCAAGACAGTCTGCAAAACCCTTGGGAATATACTTTCAAATTATGTAAGTGCAACATTTTGAAACAACTGTTTCTAAATAAATCTGTGGAAGAGAGGTGATTTTGCTCCTTTAATCTTTGCGTATTTCTATAAACATTCTAGCTTCACATGCTATTTTACATCCTTCAACTCGGAAAGTTAAATGCTGATTGAATTATGACACTGCCTCTTCTGAAGTCAAAGAAATTATGCACGACCAAACTAAAGAGAGTTATGTTATAAATTCTTAAGAGGCTTGCTTTCATGTGCAGTCACATCCATATGTGAAATTACAGTTATTAAAATATATTCTGCAAGTTTACCTCTGTACCAGATGCAGAGCATGCACCACAAACCCAAATGCACCTTCTCTCAAAAAGTGAGCAGATTAAAAACTGAAACTATGGCAGCTGAGATCTTTAAAGCGTTATATATAGACACATTTAGAAAATGTATGTAATGTAATGAAAGGCATTCAAGACTGATAATGCACCTGAAAAGCTGCAGTTTTGCAGACTTTTCCCCCCTCTTCTGCGAGGGGGCAGCCCTGCGATCCCGCTGGACAGCAGGTCCCGCTCGTTCTGCTGAAGCCAGCGCAGCCCCGCGATCCTCCCTCAGCAGCCGCCACCGCACCCGGCACCAGCCTTACCTGAACCTCGTCCGGGAAAAAGTTGATGGCGCGGAAAACGAAGCTGGCGCGCAGAGACCCCATCTCCGACAGCTTCCCCCTCTCGCAAAATCCCGCCTCATTCCCCTCACGAACCGCTCCCAGCCGGGCACGGCCGGGCAGGGCAGCGGCGCCCGCAGACCCCCGGCCCACGGCACCGCCCGCTCACCCCCGGCGGCCCCGCACAGCGCCAGGTGGGCTCGGAACCCCCGGCCGGCCGAGCCCTCCCCTCCGACACCCTCCTGGCTCCTCACCGGAGCGCCTTTCACCCTTCACTCTTCTTCCCAGGAGCCCCGCCGTCCCTCCCCCCCGGGGCCGCCCCCAGACGCCTTACCCGCGTGTGCGGCTCCGGGCCGGCCGAGCAGGGGCGCGCAGAGCCAGGTGAGGAGGAGCACGGACGGAGGGCGGCCGCAGCACAGCCACGCTCCGCAGCCGGCCATGGCTAGGGCACGGCCCCGCTGCCTCCGAGCCCCGCGGCGGGAGCCGGGAGCCGCCGGGGCCCCGCCGGGGGCAGGAGCCGCGCTCGGCCCGGCGCGGCAGCCGGTGCCGTCGGAGGAGCTCCTGGCAGGTACCGCGAGGAGGAGGCGGCAGCGCCGCGCCCACAGACTCGGTCCCCGTGCTCGTCCCGCCGGGCTGTCCCGCGCGGCCCTTGTGCAGCTGCAGCGCCAGCGCTCGGTAACCGGCACAGCCACCCGGGCAACGCCTGCGGCGTTGTGAGGGCGGTGCCGTGGGCCGGGGTCTGCGGGGCCGCTGCCCTGCCCGGCCGTGCCCGGCTGGGAGCGGTTCGTGAGGGGAATGAGGCGGGATTTTGCGAGAGGGGGAAGCTGTCGGAGATGGGGTCTCTGCGCGCCAGCTTCGTTTTCCGCGCCGTCAACGTTGTGAGGGCCGCCCTCCTGTGCTTTTGGGAGGGTGCAAGTGTAAGTGACTTCTGGCGAAAAAAAAAAAACCTTTTCATTTCCATTGCATTTGAAACACTCGGTAGGGTTTTTTTTTGTAAGTTTCTAAATCAGTATGATTTTTTAAAGTTTCTAATTTAGAATATTTTGGAACTTTTAATCTAAAATAGATAAACTAATGCAAGCTAAAAAGACTTAGGATATTTCCACATCTTCAGGTATATTATAGATATACAACATATATAATAAATACTCCGTACAAAACACCAATTTTTCTATCAGATAAATATTTCTTACAGATATAAGTATCACATAAATAAAATCTGTTACAAAAGACAATTTCCAACATACACACTGTGAAGTTTAATCAGTGATTTTTCCTAAATCATCCTAATACAATGTATAGTGTACACATTGCCAAAAAAATAGAAGCAGCTGGCAATAACACATTTTTTACATCTAAGTGTTTAATATTTCATGGAGACTTGGAAAGAAGGGCTAAATGACTTTACCGTGTTAATCAGCTTCTACATGAAAAGTGCTAGATACCGCATTCCTCAGGAAAATAGTCTTAATAACTGAAATAATTTTAGCAACTTTATACCTTTCTAAAATGAGCACTACCCAAACAGCAATTTCATTAAGCATGCTGTCAATTGTCAAAATTCTTTTATACCAGTTGTTTATTTTACAGAAAAACTGCATCTCTGTGTAAACAGTGAATCTTTTCAATGACCAAAACAGAATAATGGAGCATTTCAATCCCTTTCTTAATTTTTAGACTCCTGTTTTTCTGTATTAGCTTTTCCTGCAGCCCTATTTGGGTTGTTCGTGTCTGTGCAAGACATAATGCAGGCTGTACAAGCACACAAAAAAGGCTGCTTACACAGGAGTTTCTTCCAGCACACTTCTAGTGACAGGCTGTATTGATTTGAATGCTCTGCAGTGAATATGGTCATTTTATATATTAAGAATCCATTTGTACATGGCATATCTTCTACAATCAAAATATTTGGGTAAAAGATGCAGCATCCTCTTATTTGAAATGCTCGATGTATATGCAGTTGTCAGCTCAAGATTTTATACTAAATGAGAAATATATTTTAGCCCAAAACAGGGCACAAACCTCCACTTTTTTTTTGTTTTGTTTGTTTGTTTGTTTTTTTGGTGACACTCTACTTCTGATATTTTCTGAGCGCTTCAAGAATTACTGGGCAATATTTGTACTCTAATTGCAACTCTGCAGTTTTTGATGGAAGCTAGTTCACTACTGCACTGTACCTGGTCTTCCTAACGTGAGATTACCAGGTAAAATCTGTATTTCTGTGCACTGCAGCAGATGCATTTTAGAGCCATAATGTGTCGCTACCAATGTTGAACATAGCTGCCACTAGAACGTGCAGGACATGGGAAACTGGTTTCATTACATAACTGTAGATTTGTGTGCAGCTGGGTCCTAACTGGGCAAAACAGCTGCTGTAGGATATAAAAGGATTAAACTGTCTGGGTTACATGCCTAACATTTTGCTAAATATTTTATGTAGCATCATCTGGCACACGTTAATTATGTTGTATTATTACTGTTTTAGAAAACAGTAGTTATAAATAAGTAGATGTTTTTTCCTGCTGCTTTGAACTTGGAGCAGAATGTTAATGGTATCAGCAGCATGTTAAGTTTACCATTTACCATTAAGCAAAAGCCTAAACAATTAGAAGTAATGCTGTCTTTCAAAGGACCCTTGTCAGCAGGAGGTGACATCTGAAGGTCCCTGCTGAAGTACATTCTGAGAATCTGCAATAAATTGGCTGATGGCAGCTTTTACTGTGCACTGAAGAGTAGTTTAACTGGAAAGCCAAATGCCAAATTAAACCTGGATAAAAATAGCCAGCTGCTCAGTTCTATTTGTAAAATGAGAAATGTTCTAAAAACTTTGTGAAGCTGAATTTTCTCCAGATTAAAGCCAGTGAAGGGTACTCTTAAATCCAGTAATTTCAGTGGGTTTTCATATTGTAGTAGAAATGACTGCAATTAAAACTTGAAAATTAGGATCATTTTTACTGCAGAAAAACGTAGCAGAAAGCACTCTTTAAAGAAAATTAAAGACATTTAAGTAAGTCTTAGGACCTCCACCAGTCTAAAACAAAACAATTTCATGTATGAAGTATTTGAGTGCACCACCTTCTTGGACTTACATGTCTTGTATACTGAGCTGTGTTAGCCATGTATCACAGTCCTGAGGCCTCTGAAACCATTGAAGACCTTTCAATCATTATAATATTATATTCATTTTCACAACACATTGGAGAAGTATTTCTTCCTAATTTTAAGGTTATGAAGAGAAAGAATAAATAATTACCTTGGAAATACATAAGAAACCAGAAGTAGCTGTCAAATTTAACATCAGGAGTTTTTTGTTGTCTCTTAATTTGGGTGCCTTTGTAACTGACAAGTAAAGTATTGGGATGAAGAGGGAAGCATACCTAAAGGAGATCATATAAGAAGCAGTCTTGGAAGTTAATTTGACTTTATTTGAACAGAATACAGTCACCTAGAAAACAAGCTAACTATTCTTAAACACTGACAGATGCAAGAGACAGCACAGGTAATTATTGGAGAAGCAGTAGTTTCATTCTCTCTTAAACTACTTAGAATAACAAACCACATTACAATTTCTTAGGACAATCTATTTGTGAATATTTGCATATTTGCCCTAACAAGTTCTATCATGCACTCTAGTGAGATATAAGCTAACCAGTTTTTTAAGTTTATAAACATCATATTATGCAAACAATTTTAAGTAAATACTTTAACCTAATTTGAAAAATCTGTCACCTTCCACAGCACCACATGAAGATCTTGTTTTAAAATAACATTAAATCCACAGCAATAGCTAAATATTTTAAATACTTATGTATTACACTGTAAACTCTACAGAAACACTACGTACACCCAAAAAAACATACAAAGAACAGGAAGATCATTTTGATTAGCAAAGATACCTCAAATGTATCGCCAGAATAATTTTTCTGTTCTTACGACTTATCCCCAAACCACTCCCAGAAAAGGCACAGTTGGTGGTGATTTTTTTTTTCTTTTTTTAACACACAAAGCCAGAATCAATACAGTAGGCCAATGCAGTCGAACACTGCTCTTATTTCTAGGAAGAACAGGAAAGAAACTTGCATTAGTGTCCAGATGGCTCAGGAAGATTCTAATAATGAAAGATCTCCAGCATCTGCTTACTGCCCTAGGCTCAAATGCAGAAATGAATCCCAAATTAAATTTCGGTTAGGAGAACTTGGCTGTACATCTTGGACATGACTGCCAGCTAGAGTTACTTGCCTATTCCAAGGCAGTACTGGGGCTCAGCTCACAATCAGCTATTGATGGCACTCAGGAGAGATGATGGTTTTTCAAATTAAATTGGTAATTACTGTTCAAAGATTATACTCACAAAGTATTAGACAATACTTCTTCCACTTTGTACAAACAAAACCTTTAAATAAATAGATCTTTTAAAACTTATTACAAGGCTTCAATATATTTATTAAAGTCATTCCAAATTTTTATTATTACAGTATCTAAAAAGTTCTCCTTTACCAGCAAATGATGCCATGTTTGGCAAGAAAATGGTATTGGTAATTTTTTAAACCAAAATATGCATATATGAGTTATCCCCATTTTTTTAGAAAAAAATGCTTCTAAGAAAAATATTTTACTAAGTCTATATTCTAAGATATAATACTTATACTATTACACTAAACAAACTGCCTTTTATGAACTATATACATTGATGAACAGTCTCAGATGCACTAAGTTTCCCAGAAGACAGAAAGCATTGCTGGAATCTATCAAGTATTGTTGCAAGGAATCTTTGAGAAGTGAGAAAAAACTCCATTTTGGCATTGCTGCTTTTAGAGCATATTCCAAGTACTTGTGTAACCATCATCAGCGATCCAGAAATCTGCAAAAGATGCTGAGATGTTGCATTCATGGTATCAAAAAATAGAAAGATTCAGCACTGAATTTTTACATGAAACGGAGCCTGAGGTATTTATACAATCCTTTGTAATGGAGATGAAATATTACCCATTGCATGTTGTCTGCAACTATTCAGGACTTGTTACATGAAATACCATTCCTATGTTGTTATTTGGAAGACCTACTGTTGCACAAGGCCTAAATAAGAACTTTTATTAGCTATAAAATTGGCATATTAACAAAGTGCTATCTAAGGTCAGTGCTAAAGACTGAAGCAGTTGGGCTGCACCAAGGCTTAAGAGAATGACCAAGCAGGTCCTGCAGAGAACCCCCAGCCTCCCCCTTCTCTGTACAGAGGCTGCCAGAGTAAGTGCAGGAGAACTACACAAGCTGCAGCACAGACATCTTGAGGCAGATTCCTTCCCTCTGCTCTCCACAGTGACTCTTACAGCAGTGAGCTCAAAAATGGGTTCAGTTGGAAGGAAGGGTCATTTCTGGCCATGTTGACAAAGTACATTTTAGTAAAAAATGTCTGAGATGGAT